TGCTCCATTCTGGGTGTCAGGTGCTCTCTTCTGAGCGTCAGGTGCTCTCTTCTGGGCGTCAGGTGCTCTCTTCTGGGCGTCAGGTGCTCTCTTTCTCCAGAATGTCCAAAAAGGGTCCAACTTCATTCTTTTCTAGCCAATTNCGNTTGTAAGTTCCAGTTATTGCTTCCAGCCGCTTTTTGTACCTAGAACGACTCGATAGAGAGTGAAAGACTCGATAAAAGCCTACAAAACAAGGGTTAGAATGCGCCAAAAACGCATTATATCAGGAAGTTACTGTTTGCTCCAGTACCTTTTTCTTCTCCAAATCGATTTTGGGATTTAAAAACTCTAAAACCCCAAACTGATTTTGGGTACCTACCAAAACAACTTTCTCATTCAAAGATCAATCTAAACCTTAAGCTTTTATCCATCATCACCAAAATTCCAACACTAACTAACAAAGAATGTTAACCATTAAACCAAATTGGTCCCAATTGATCCAACACAATCGAATTTTGAGTCCTTAGANCCGATTCGTCGGCAAAACCCCAAAGAAATCCAAAATCAATTTGGGGTTTTAGGGTTTTAAAATCCCAAAATCGATTTGGAGAAGAAGAAGGTAATGTAGCAAACAGTAATTTTCGTTTGTCGGATTGACACCGTTAATGTCGATGTAGTAAAACCAACCCATTTTAAAAGTTCGAGTATATAAAGAACAATCTTAAATAGTTAGTGCATTTATCGGGTAACTAAAAAAGTTATGGTATTTTTTCAACAAATGAAATTAAGTTTAGGTATTTTTCAGGAATTTTACCTTTTTAGGTCGACAGCTAGCTAGCATATATCTCCCTCTATATCATTTATACCATGTTTAAAGATATTATTACACATCAATTAAGAAATCACATTAATGCTATTATTTTTTGTTCATTTACAAATTACACAATTATTTATTGTTCAAATAAAATTAGTTCAACCAATCACAAAAATATTACACAACTCAAAATGGTCACAAAAGATAAACAGAATTTTTTTTTTTGTCTTAAAAAATTAAAACATCAACTAATTTGGTATAAAAACAATCTCTAAAACATCAAATATTATGATACATAA